AGATAATGTGTCTTGTTTAAAGTACTTGATCCCATAGTTAAAATCTTAAGGTTCCCCAGATGAACATTATTGTTTGGAATGTTTATACTAAGAAATTTGTAGTAGGGGCAGCTAATATCGATTGAATTAGTTAATGTGCTTAGTAATATTTAAAATTAAAATAGTATTACTGTGTCGCACAGTAAAGAACAATTAATTATCTAATAATATTTATTTACAGAGCCGATCAGCCGGGAAGGTTGGACAACTACCTCCAGGGTTCATCAAGGCAGATGAAAGAAATTTACCAAAAGTAGATGTCTTTATGATTGTAGAGTATTGTCAAGAACTCCGCCATCCAGTTATGAAGAACATTAAATTACATCTGTCTTCTGATCATCTCAAGCCCATCCTGGGCCATGGTCATCCCTAGTCCTTCCACAACATTAAATATAGACATCAGTGATGCAAACTTACATTTTCCAAATATGAAATAGAGAACAGTGATGAAAACTTCCATGTTGGAGTTATCGGTCTTTACATCATTTTGGCAGCCACCAAGTAAATACACACGATGATACTTGAGCAGTAATTTATTTTAACCTAAAAATAAGGTATGCCTGTGTATATCAACATTATATATGGCCACAAGTCCTGTATTTCTGCTGGTAACAACACGTACACCACAGCTGGCTGCCTCCAGGCTCCCTCTCAGCGCCCCGAACCAGCCAGTGACGTCACAACCAATCACAGGGCTTTTCGCAGTCACGGGACTTTTTAGCTACTTTAACCCTTATTTTTTACACTTTTTGGTCCAATTTATTTAAAAATATCATTACCATAGTGAATTTAAGCATTTACCCATCTTACAAAATAAAAATCCGACCGACAACTCGTCCATTTAACCTTTTATGTACAGTAATCTAACCCTTTGCTTACGATAACTTAACCCTTTACGTCCGACAACTTAACCCTTTACATACGATAACTTAACCCTTTACGTCCGACAACTTAACCCTTTACATACGATAACTTAACCCTTTACGTCCGACAACTTAACCCTTTACATACGATAAATTAACCCTTCACATACGATAACTTAACCCTTTACGTCCGACAACTTAACCCTTTACATACGATAACTTAACCCTTACGTCCGACAACTTAACCCTTTACATACGATAACTTAACCTTTACGTCCGACAACTTAACCCTTTACATACGATAAATTAACCTTCACATACGATAACTTAACCCTTTACGTCCGACAACTTAACCCTTTACATACGATAATTAACCCTTTACGTCCGACAACTTAACCTTACATACGATAAATTAACCCTTTACATACGATAACTTAACCCTTTACGTCCGACAACTTAACCCTTTACGTACGACAACTTAACCTTTACGTCCGACAACTTAACCCTTTACATACGATAAATTAACCCTTCACATACGATAACTTAACCCTTTACGTCCGACAACTTAACCCTTACATACGATAAATTAACCCTTCACATACGATAACTTAACCCTTCACGTCCGACAACTTAACCCTTACATACGATAACTTAACCTTTACGTCCGACAACTTAACCCTTTACGTCCGACAACTTAACCCTTTACGTCCGACAACTTAACCTTTACATACGATAAATTAACCCTTACATACGATAACTTAACCCTTTACGTCCGACAACTTAACCCTTTACATACGATAAATTAACCCTTCACATACGATAACTTAACCCTTTACGTCCGACAACTTAACCCTTTACATACGATAACTTAACCCTTTACGTCCGACAACTTAACCCTTTTCGTCCGACAACTTAACCCTTTACGTCCGACAACTTAACCCTTTACATACGATAAATTAACCCTTTACATACGATAACTTAACCCTTTACGTCCGACAACTTAACCCTTACGTACGACAACTTAACCCTTTACGTCCGACAACTTAACCCTTTACATACGATAAATTAACCCTTCACATACGATAACTTAACCTTTTACGTCCGACAACTTAACCCTTTACATACGATAAATTAACCCTTCACATACGATAACTTAACCCTTTACGTCCGACAACTTAACCCTTTACATACGATAACTTAACCCTTTACGTCCGACAACTTAACCCTTTACGTCCGACAACTTAACCCTTTACGTCCGACAACTTAACCCTTTACATACGATAAATTAACTCTTACATACGATAACTTAACCCTTACGTCCGACAACTTAACCCTTTACATACGATAAATTAACCCTTCATACGATAATTCTAACCTTACGTCCGACAACTTAACCCTTTACATAAGATAACTTAACCCTTTACGTCCGACAACTTAACCCTTACATACGATAAATTAACCCTTCACATACGATAACTTAACCCTTTACGTCCGACAACTTAACCCTTACATACGATAACTTAACCCTTACGTCCGACAACTTAACCCTTTACATACGATAAATTAACCCTTATATGATAACTTAACCCTTTACGTCCGACAACTTAACCCTTTACGTACGACAACTTAACCCTTTACGTCCGACAATCTCTAACCTCTCAGTCCGATAACTTAACCCTTTACGTCCGATAACTTATCCTTTACGTCCGACAACTTAACCCTTTACGTCCGACAACTTAACCCTTTACATACGACAACTTAACCTCCTTGAATACGATCCTTTGTTGATATATTATCTAATCTCTCTCTCTCTCATCTCTCCCTGCCTCTTGTTCGGGAGTTTTATCTTTCTCGTTATCTTTTAAGTCATCGTTCCACACCTCCCTTGGCGCCACTTTCACCTATCATCCTTCGCTGTCTCTTCCTGTTTCTCGCTACCACTTTCAATTCTTATTTATTTCCTTGCACTTGGGTTTTTTTTTATCTTTCATCCCTTCACGCTATTTCTGACAATCTTCCTCTTATCGCTGACCATTTCTCGCCATCTCTGATTATACTCTCTCTCTCTCACTATTTCTCATTCCCTCTCTCTCTATATATATATCGGTATTTCTCATCATCTCTCACCGCCGTTTTCTGACCATTAACACAGGAGGGACGAGGCTAGAGGAAGACATCAAGAGCTGCTTTGTTTACGAAGGACCTGCACGTGACGTCATAGATCAGCTGGTGAACTGTTTACGAAGGACCTGCACGTGACGTCATAGATCAGCTGGTGAACTGTTTACCGAGGAGTTGCACGTAACGTCATAGATCAGCTGACGGATTAATGGAAGATTTTATTCACACAGCCGGACAAATTTACGTACGAAATTTTCTTAGTTAATTAGTTTTATAACGTTAGTGATTAGTGTTGATAGTGGATTATTATTATTATAATTTAAAACATCAATATTGTATCAGTATACTTTAAATAGTAATACTGTATAACTTATAATGTTGATATTGTATTATTACTTCAAATAGCCGATACCGTAGCTAGACAGGTGTAAGGAAACTAAGAACGGCAGGAAATATTCTTAATTGAAACCACGTGCGAAAAAGAATATGCAAATTAGTTGTTTGATATAGAGAAAAAAAGAATCTAAAGACCTTATAAATTGAGACACGGATTATTCTTCAGGCCTTATTCTTAACACACACACACACACACACACACACACACACACGTTATTCTTACACATCCAAATTCTCCTCCAATTTCAATATTCGCATCATAAAAAACTTTGGCTCTAATGTAAGATGAACAAGCTAAATTTATCCTTTTGATTGAAGACTGACCTTACACGCTGTGGCCTGGTCATTAACTGTGTCTAGTGTTTTAATATATATATCACTGATCTATGTACTTAAACTAATTACATCTTGGTAATAATCTCGTCTAGAATGTTCTAACTATCTTGCATCATTACATCACGGTGTTGGTGAGGACTGGCGAGTGTGTTTCATGGCTCACACGAGAGGCTCGTCGACCACAACAAAGAATGTAAACAAAGGCATTCGTGACGTCATCGCAACACCCGTATCTGACGTCACGTATCTTGGAATTCTTATGACGTCACATCCCCTAAATTTCCTGTATCTTGCGTTTGCTTAAATTCTACGCCGATATGACGAGATATTTTAGTATTGTTGAGAGACAAACTTAATCGAGTTAGAATGTAACCTAATCTAACATTCGCAAAAAGTTAACCAACCAAATTAACCTCACCAAAAGTTAACCTAAATTAGCCTAAGTTATTCTAAAATGAAACTTGATTTAGTGAACCTAACCTAACCTAATATAAGAGCGGTCATATAACAATACTTTGAATCAGATTGGCTTAGGTTAGGTTAGGTTAGGTTAGGTTAGGTTAGGTCAGGTTGGCTTAGGTTAGGTTAGAATTTAGTTGGATTAAATTAAGTTAGATTAGGCAAGAGTACAGTGGGTTAGGACTCGGCTGATTTAGGCATACTAGGTTTCGGTCAGATTAAATAAAAAGACTAGGTTGGATTAGTTTAGTTTAGGTTAAGATTGGATTAGCTAAAGTTAAGTTAGATTAGGTTAGGTTAGGTTAGGTTAGGTTAGATTAGGTTAGGTTAGGTTAAATTAATGTCTAGTGAAGTCTTACCTAAGTATCCTGACAGTTGTTCTGTCACCCTCCCCCAGTCTCTCTCCCTCACCCTCCCCCTCAGTCTCTCTCCCTCACCCCCCCAGTCTCTCTCTCCTCCCTCCCCCCCAGTCTCTCTCCCTCACCCCCCAGTCTCCCTCACCCCAGTCCTCTCCTACCCCCCAGTCTCTCTCCGTCAGCCCACAAATGGGACAGACACGCACCATGCAATCGTGTGGAGAGAAAGAAACAAGAGAGAAAAACAGAGACAGACAACAACAAACAAACAGACAAACAAACAAAACAAGCAAACATACAGACAAAGCACATCAATCTCCACTGGCCATTAACAATCTTTCAAGAGACACAGACAAACACGGACAAACACGGGACAAATGAGTGACGTGTTTCAACTAAGTGACTTTAAAACCTCTCTGGGCTAGGGGCTTCAGGGCTGAGGGGCTGCAGGGCTGCAGGGCTGAGGGGCTGCAGGGCTGAGGGGCTGCAGGGCTGAGGGGGCTGTAGGGCAGGGGCTGCAGGCTGAGGGGGCTGCAGGGCTGAGGGGCTGAGGGGCTGCAGGGCTGAGGGGCTGCAGGGCTGAGGGCTGCAGGGCTGAGGGGTGTGCAGGGCTGAGGGGCTGCAGGGCTGAGGGGCTGCAGGGCTGAGGGGCTGCAGGGCTGAGGGGCTGCAGGGCTGAGGGGCTGCAGGGCTGAGGGGCTGCAGGGCTGAGGGCTGCAGGGCTGAGGGCTGCAGGGCTGAGGGGCTGCAGGGCTGAGGGGCTGCAGGGCTGAGGGGCTGCAGGGCTGAGGGGCTGCAGGGCTGAGGGGCTGCAGGGCTGAGGGGCTGCAGGCTGAGGGGCTGCAGGGCTGAGGGGCTGCAGGGCTGAGGCTGCAGGGCTGCAGGGCTGGGCTGCAGGGCTGAGGCTGCAGGGCTGAGGGCTGAGGGGCTGCAGGGCTGAGGGCTGCAGGGCTGAGGGGCTGTAGGGCTGAGGGGCTGTAGGACTGAGGGGCTGTAGGGGCTGAGGGGCTGTAGGGACTGAGGGGCTGCAGGGGCTGCAGGGCTGGGGCTGCAGGGCTGAGGGCTGCAGGGCTGAGGGGCTGAAGGGCTGCAGGGCTGCAGGGCTGAGGGGCTGCTGGGCTGCAGGGCTGAGGGGCTGCAGGGCTGTGTTGAACTTGAAGAGGGTACACGATAACTTAATGTCTTTGTGTACGACGATTCCTTCTATTGACTTGATATCTTAAAATTACTTCCTTAATTACAACTTAATTTCTTCTTTAAGTATTATAAGTCCTTGATAATGTCGATTTAGTTCATTTAATTACAAACAATAATTTTAATTCGCAAATACAGTGATTCAATTGCAACGAAAGTTTAACCATTTACTATGATAATGAGAGTTTTAACCCACTAGTACGATGACTTAACCCCTTGAGTGCGAGTACGTTACCCTAAACCTCGAGTGTAAGTGGTACGCCTTGAGTACAATAATATAACCCTCGAGTATGATAAGTCTTACGAGTACGATAACTTAAAACCTCAAACCAAAATATTTAAAACAATAATAAACTTTTTTGAGCAAGGAAATACACATAAAGACACATCACTATCCCAGCGATCTATAAACCTCTCGGAACAGATGCACCAAACATGAAAATAAACCATCATCAACTATAAAACACAAACACGAAAGCCATAATCTACCGTAAGAACAGTCAATAATAATCTATGGATATCTAGTCATCCAGAAAATTCAGAACCCAGGAGTAAACGAGTCAAAAATACGTATATTTCCTCCAGATTACAACATGGAAACAACACCTCAAGAACTGGGAAGACAACGTGAAGACTTTATAATGAACTTCTTACGGAGATTCAGTTAAAACATCTCTCAGGTTACGAGGAATAAATATGATGCTTTAACTTCCCTCTTCTGGTATTTCTGACGCAGGAAGAATGTTGATGATGTTATAATGTACTACAACACTTTAACAACTTAATAAGGTCGTGAATTATTCTAGTTTTAGGATACAGAGTAAAGAATGATACTAGAGGCATTCAGTCACCTTATTTGTTCCTATGACACTCGTACAGTACACCAGGAGGGACACCACATAAGTCACTGCTCACACACACGACACCACCTTCCACTCATCTACCAAACCAACAGCGAAAAAAATAAAATCCAAATGAGCTTCGATGAATAACCCAAACACCAATAATGTTCACCTTACAAAATAAATACATAAGAAATATTACAAAAATTACTTAAAATACAAATTGAGCTGAAAGTTAGGAAAAATCTACCCTCCAATAATTAAGTTATAGTTAAGAATAAGATTAAAACACCATTGAGTTATATATGAAATAGAAGAAGACTAATTTCAACCGATAAATCTATCACGTAATCACTTCAGGTAACCACAAACTCACCTGTGGATGGATAACAAATGAAGTCTAAGCCCAGAACAGCGCCTCTAGCCAGTATAAATTACACTAAATCTTGATCAACTAACACCTCCGCTTACTGCTGCCCGTCTTGCTGAGTGAATTACAAGTCGACTCGTCATTGAGATGGATTCGGAGCTTCGTTCAGGGGAGGAGGGTCATGAATCCGACTCTTTTATTTTTTTAAGGGTTCGTTGGTTATTTATAAGTGATTCGCTACCTGGAGATTCGAAGCAAGTCTGTCAGTGGTTTATATTTTAAGTTGGAATGCCAAGATGGTAGTCAAATGAGTGTCCAAATAGCACTGAGACTTTACCATGAAACACACGAGGAATCAAAACCTCAAGAAAATGTCAAATCAAAAACAAAATTTACCTGAGAACCTTTTTAAAACGAGAAAGCCAATAGAATACAAATGAACGCAGGAATATTTGTGAGCTTAATACAAAATGGCTTCAGGTTGCGTTTTTCGTCTCCTATGTTTGGAGATGAGAACAGGAGATAAATTGAACTCCTAATCACTACTAATCTCCAAATTCTGGGAGATTTACCTGTCGGGACATTAAGGTTTTTGAGATGATGATGCCTGGAGATACTAGCGTTTGGAAATAATACTGATGAGCGATAGTGGTGTTTGGAGATGATAGTGGTTGGAGATGATAGTGGTTGGAGATAATGGTGGTAAAATATACTGCTTGGAGATAGTAGTGGTTGAAGATAATGATGCTTGAGATAGTGGTGGTAGGAGATAATGTTTTTAAGAGACGATGAAACTTGGAGATAATAGATTGCGAGATAACAGCACTTGGAGATTATAGTTCTGGGAAATAATAGTACTAGGAAAATCATGTTAATTACTGTGTGTGTGTGTGTGTGTGTGTGTGAAGATGATTATACTGTACGATGTATTACGTACGCACACACACGCACACACAGGTCTCATGGGGTGCACTGAACAGGCGATATTACTGAGTGTTCAAGTGAAGACAGGTGGAGATGGCCGGGCTCACAGATACCTGCATAATTTCCTAATTTATTTCGCTGCTGGTGTCCTTGGTTATGGTAGGAGACTCAGACTCTCTCTCTCGCTCTCTCTCTCTCGCTCTCAAATTCCTCGACCAAATTCTCCAGTTTCAAATAACACCTACAAAAATCTGATAATATAGGTAAACAATATCTGCCTGTCTCTGTCTGTCCGCATGTCTGTCTGCCCGACTGCCTATCTGACAGCTTGTCTGTCTGTCTGTCTGTCTGTCTGTCTGTCCGTCTATTTTCTTCACCTTATTTTTAACTCAACAGTGGAAGATAAAGTAGACAATATGTAGTGTGTGTGTGTGTGTGTGTGTGTGTGTGTGCGTGTGTGTGCGTGTGTGTGTGTGTGTGTTTATCCCCGGCAAGGTTCCTCCCCCACCTCCACCCAAAATAAAGGATATATTATTATGTTCCTTTCGTTGAGAATGTCAGCGTGTCTGTCTGTCTGTCAGCGTGTCTGTCTGTCTGTCTGTCTGTCTGTCCTATAATCACTCAGTCTATTTGTTCGTCCGTCGATGAATTAAAAAATAAAAATAAATAAAAATATATTAAAAAATGGACCAAAAACGAATAATTACGTCACTAAACGATATACCACATCCCTCCGTGTTATCTCAGTACAACAAACTCTGCAATTAGTTATCGACATTATCACACACACACAATTATATCACTTCGTTATGTGTTGTTGCTTGTTATCAGTCATCGTAATCACTTGTTATCTTATCGACGTGTATCTCTGTCTCACTGATAGTTATTACTGTTTATGGCATGTTATCTTATGTTCTTATCAGTCACAAGTTATTATTATTATTATTATTATTATTATTATTATTATTATTATTATTATTGTTGTTGTCACTTATTATTATTATTATTGTTGTTGTTGTTCATTATTAATAATAATAATAATATTATTATTATTATTATTATTATTATTATTATATTGCTGTTAGTATATTCTAATAATATTTTTACTATTATTCTTATCATACTATTATTATCAGTAATATTAGTATCATCATCATTACTTTATTACTAATGCAGTATCTACAACATTATACTCATACTTATTCATTATTTTCTTAAAATATCGTTCATAACTAATTAAACTTTTTTCCCTGTGTCCACCAGCGCTGACGACATGTACCCCTTCCTCTTAAGTATGGATAATGACATATTAGCCAGCCAGATCATGGGTAATGCGGCCACATTCACCCTGGTCTCATACCCGACGGGGAGCCCCACATTTTACGACGCTATTAAAACTAATATTCTTTGACTTCTCTCTCTCTCTCCGACGTGCTGTGAATCCATAAGGCGGTGAAGCAGTGATCAAACTTGAACATTTGGAATTTAAAATGAACGCTGAGATGACATCCACAGTGTGTTTGCTGCCCCAGAGTCAGACCCAGCGAGCCAGAAAAAAATACCTCGATCGGCATCCCGTCCTAAGATGTGTAAAACTCCCAACCCTCAGCCAATCCGCAGTCGGTTAACATAAACACGTCCCTCTCGACCAATCCCTTGGGGGGTAACAGAGGCCGGAGGTATTGGCCAATGGGAAGCCGCGGTACAAAACTAATAACTATTACCAAGGCGGCAATGGACCTTAAAATCTGTGGGCTGACATTTAAAGCCTCCGAGGGCCGCCTTAACTGCAGGCCAGACTACCCACCAATAGTTTTAACATTTATCCAACCGCTATAATACACACTGAAGTATACAACATACTACGGCAGTATAACCGGTATGACGTAATGTGTCATCCAACCTGGGCGAATAAACATACCTCAGTAGTGTATATAACAAACCATACAAACATACCTCAGTAGTGTATATACCACACCACAAACATACCAACAAACATACTCCCAGTATGATATCCCCGCCCCCACAAACATACACACCAGAGATTATAACAAACTATACCAAGAGAGGGGCCCCCAGAGCCTCCCTGGCCGGGCCCAACAAGTAATGACATTAATAAGTACAAGTGAAGTGTAATGATGGGGAGGCGGGCGTGGTGTTAAGGGAAGCTGGTGACGGCTGGAGCTGGCCCCGTGTGTAGCTGGCCCCGTGTGTAGCTGGCCCCGTGTACCGTGTGTAGCTGACCGTGTGTACCGTGTGTAGCTGACCCCGTGTCCGGTGTGTAGCTGACCCCGTGTACCGTGTAGCTGACCCCGTGTACCGTGTGTGTATGGCCCCGTGTACCGTGTGTAGCTGTCCCGTACCGTGTGTGTGACCCCGTGTAAGGTGCATTTTACTGACATCGTGTACCGTATGTAACTGACCCCGTGTATTGTTGTGTGTAGCTGACCCCGTTTATACGAACAGTAGGCATCACACTTGCACTAATTCTGACGTCACATCTATGTCCAATGACATAATCACCAATTGTGACGTCATATACGGGTGACGTCACACTTGGGGGAGTTCCGACATCACCTGTGTGCCAAGTTGGAATAAAAATCCGCCCATGCATGACGAGGTATGCCTGCTGAGGAACATACGAACAGACGGGCAAATTAACAGACGGGCAAATTAACAGACGGGCATACTAACAGACCGGCAAGCTAACAGACGGACAGACTAACAGACGAACAGACTAACAGACGAACAGACTAATAGACGGACAGACTAATAAACGGACAGACTAACAGACGGACAGACTAACAGACGGGCAAATTAACA